GAATAACCAATGGGAACTTCTTTAACTAAAGAGAACTTACTTTCTGCCAAAGAAGGAAGAGCATTACAGAAACTAATCTCTCAAAAAGCTTGGCATACAAAATATCAGTCAGCATTCCATGTTTCAATTCTCAAGATATTCCTAATTTCTACCAAAAAGTGATTAACTAGTTCATATAAATCATTTCCAACAAATTAAATTTATGTCCCTGGAGGATGAAAACAAACCATTATTTAAATATAAACTTGTAATATGAAGGTATTATTTAACTTCTATTAATCTGGTCTTCTGAAGAATTCTACTTTCAGTCTAAATTCTACTTGCCCTCTGATTAAAGATCAGTAGATAGATTAAACATATGTCTTGGGGAATCATTGTCTTCTTTAAGGAAGGGGGAAAATTCTACTGGAGCAAAGTATTTGCCAATTTAAATTCACCAGTGCTTACCAATTCTGATTTTTTTTGCATACATTCTAGAATTGTGGATCAGTACATTTGTATGTATGTGTGAGCATTTAAACTTCTAAGATAAATAAAATTGATTCTTCAAGGTTAATGCACCTGAACCAAGAAGAAAACTTTTATTATAATCCTGTATGGTAGCCATGCAGGTGTTCAACTCAAATCTTTCATTGTCTCTATAGAGACCCAGAGATGACTAAATTCCCAGCCAAGGAAGGTCTCTTACCTAATACAGGAAAACAAGGAAAAAAGACAACAAGGTGAGTTTCCTTGATCACTGGGCCCCTCAGACTTCTCTGAACACTCAGTGTCTGGAGGGGGGGCCAATCTAATGCATTAAGAACTCGCACTTCCCTTGCTTGAGGAGATACTGCAGTCTAATAGGCATCCCCCTCAGGAGCTGTCCCAGGCTGATAATTATAGTTAAATCTCAGCATAACCTAACTGCAAATGCTAACTTTGATAAAGGAGGAAAGAGACTACAACCCAAAGGAGCTGCAAAAATCAGCTAGAATGTAACAACTAGATCCAAGGGAGTACTCCTGATACTGGATTTTGTCCCTAGCAACACCATGTTTTATTAATCAACTCATCAACTTCCCATCAGGAAAGCCCTCTTGGCTGTTCCTCTGACCTTGCGGATTTTTACAGTGGTTAAGCAGCACCACTAGCCTCTACTGTTGTATTTCAAGGAGCCTGGGATACAAGCTAAATAAGCAAGAATTAATTGATTTAAGGTCCCATTTATGAAACACAAGATTTAACTCCCAGACAAGGACCCTAGAAATTATGCTGTCTAGCTGCTAGGGTGGTCCTTTAAAACCTAGAGAAAGTAATGACTCCTCGTGAGGTTGAAGTGTCTGAGTTACCCTGTCAGATGCTAGATACAGGAATAAAAAGGGGGCATGTGGGCAAAAATGATTATGTAATGTAAGACCAGGGGCCCTACAAGAGAATACGTTCCACGGGAAGGCCGTGGAACCTTTAGCCAAATACTTAACAACTGCTGTGGTGAGAGGGACACAAGCATCACCGAGAGGAGGCTGCACAGGCTGCAGCTGATGGTAGAAGGCGTAGCCACAGAGTTTGTTTGCTAATAAAAAGGAAACAATGGGTCTTCAGAGCAACAGGGGCCAGCTAGGTGTTGCTGCTTAACCACCTGACGCCAGAGAGTTCAAAATTGCTGAAAAGACGATCAAGGTCAGGGAACAATAAAGGAGACACCGAGAGTGAGTTGATAAGTTAGTTAACAGAACATGATGTTGCTGGGGCCAAACAGGCAGAGAACGAAGATGCTGTTCAATATCTATAATCAGAAGAAAGCATGAACGGAAGAGCAGGAATTTGAAGGTGGTTTCCCCAACAAAAACTTACGATCCCTTTCTTAGTTCCCAAACATGAACCAGTTTTCGGATCTAGAACTCACTGACTTAAGTCAACGTGTACTCCAATGAATCCCCCAGTTCTTCCCCAAAAGCCTATAGATATTTACTCAGGTGACTTGCCAGGGTATGACATAGCAAGGGTCCTACTGAAATGTATATCACAGGTGCCATCCGGAGACCAGTAGGTGAGAAGAGTCACCCTTTTGGCAGGAATAACTGACTCTGATCCACAAGAGAAGCCTACTGTTTTGAAACAGTGAAAGCCAGAAAGTCTAGAACCCCAGTGATTCCCCTGTGCACCATTTGATTCTCTCTTGCCTAACAGTTACAGTGAGTAGACAAATGCAGCAACCCTGGCCTTCAGAAGCATAGTATTATCTAAGGCTCAGAGGATTCATGAATAAAAGTTTGGGTCACATTACCAGGAAAGTAATAAAGATCTACAGAGGTGACAGCTCTGGATAAAGGGAATTTGGAATGAATAGTGCTGGCAAGAGGATGACTAACAGTTGTAGCCCTAAAATCAGCACTAATGGCATGAGCTATAATTTGCCCAACTACCTTCTCTCTTCTAAGTTTCTCCTCATAAGAAAGGCTTACAGGAAACCTGGAGAAATCACTGCCAGAAAAAAAAAATATATATATATATCTATATGTATATTTATATATATATGGAGAGAAGATTGGTGCAGCTTAAAAAGTATAAGAAGTCAGCTATACAGGCTAATGAAGTGGGCCACTCAGATCTCCTGTCAAGTGAGAAACTGCTCTGAGAACTGCAGACAACAGCCTCCAGCTTCTACTCCTTTTGCAGCACCAAGGCCATATTCGCTCAGGGCTGCTCCCAGCTGATGCCTGAGCATGGCGAAGGTACTGGAAGTACCATAACTGAGGTCTGAAGTGCCTCCTATTATCTACTCTCCCTTTCTTCCCCTTCTTCTTTCACAGCTATCAGATATTCATTGGAAGCTTTTTCCTGCCAACCCCTGATCCTTCTCCTCTTCAGCTTTCCTAGACATTAACCTCAATAAATCCCATTCATGTTCAATTCTCTCTGTGCTTCTACTTCCTATAGGACCCAGCAGGGCACACTAACTCCATCATTCTACTAACTCTTGCACCCAGAGGAAACGGAATAAGACCAACAGTGCTAATGGTACTCTAGTTCAATTACAGTCACTCCATCTCAAGGTACGTACTATGATATGGCAGATCTATCTATCCATCTACATAAAATCACCGACCATTGTCATACATATACACACATAAATGAGTGAAATAAGGCCTTTATCTTCAAGAAACATTAGAGTCTATCTGGAGAAATGTTCACATGCCAAATTACTAAAATCACATTCATGCAGTGATAAGAACAGGTCTTAAAGGAAATGTATCAAAGTACTTTGGGAGGAGAGAAGCTTAAAACACTTGTGACTGGAAATCTCTGGGAGGATTTTCAAGCGAAAACTTCTAGCACTGATCCACACTGTATTTTCCAAAAATGACTATACGATTAAATAGCTGTTTCACCATTTTTTTTCCATCAGAGATTTTGCATCCAATAACTCACTGTATTTCTTTGAACAAAATCATCAATCTCTTTTTAATTATAGCTACTCTGCTATGTTTATCCAATTAACAGCAAATATTTTCTTCAGTGATAGGCCATTCAAGGTATTTCTTCTGGATAATTCAAGATCTTTAAAAGAGAAATGTCCGAGTCCTGGTCAACATGACTCAAGATCACAGTGAGAAAATATATTTAACTATCATCCACCTGTGGTCACACCATCTTCTGAACTGAATGTTAAAACCAGTTGCACATTGGATTTTACAATCAATTTTATTCGTTAATTCTACTAATTTAGGCACCCTCCACCCAAAATTCACCTTGCCTGACATACATTGCCTATGCCCTAAATAATACCATCACTTCCATCTCTGCATCTAGTTCAATTTTATTACCTAAAAGAATATTTCCAAATATTATTATACTCTACTTTGAATTATTTTAAATCAATTTAATTCTAGTAAATGTCCAAGGCAAAACAAAACAACTATTTAAATGTTAATCAAGAATTTCAGTATTACAACTGACTCAACAAGCTCACAAGACCCTCAAAATGTATTCATTTAGTATTTTCCCTAATGTTTTCTAATCATCTCTTCATAATTTACTATTAATTCAGCAAGAACATTTTATTAAGCACATGCTGTAAGCCATGAACTCTGCTAGATGCTCTGACAACTCAATTCACGACACAGAGTATATCTCAATTATATATTGCTCTATCATTTACAGCTACTCAGATCTACGCTTAGTGTGTTTATTTTAGCTCCACTCCTTACTAGAAAAACAAGCATTTGCACGGACAATACATTTTACCATGTATTTATTTCTATTAGTTATTTCTTGCAATTCAGTATTAAATAATTAAAATAGAAGCAAGACCATTTGCATTTGTATTAGTAAATTGATCAAGGTATGGCAATAGGCTCAAGAGGCAAATTCCACATTATTATCTTAAAAATCTATGAACATGACAAATTTCATGAATTAAATATATAAATGTGTTTGCTATCATGATAGAATACAAAAATGGAAGAAAGTTGACATTTTTTAAATTTTTTTTGTTCATTTTCCAATTGCTTTGTCAAATACTTGAAAGCTCTTGATTCTTGCTGAAGTCATCAACATAAAATTAATAACAACAGGTGTTTTATTTGATTCAAAATAACTAAAATTTCCTTCCAATTTCATTCTCTACATTCTCTACAAGCTATGACAATGAATACATGTTTTGAAGGATTTCCCCATTCTGAGATTTTATGTCATAAGAAAATAAATTGTGATACCAAAATAATTACTTACAGTGATACTCTCTATGATAATTTCTAATTCTGTCAGCCTGCTAGTATAGCATGGTATTACGCATATGTTATATTTTGCAAGGATATCACAATATGAAATCATCAACCATAGCAAATATAAATTGGCATATATGAAATTTCTAAGCAGAAAAAGCTTTAGGTGCAAATCGATGAAGTAGAGACAATTATTCCATCTTTACTTTAGCTTCTGGAATAGAAATATCACATATATACATATATCTACACGCATAAAAACCTTTTTATTTTTCAAGGACAGAAGAATAAGACATAAATAACTGTCTAACTCAATGACTCATAGTGAACACAAATTAAATTACTATGATATAAGAATAAGAATACTCTATGCAAGGTCTGGGAGCCAACTCAAAAAATAAAAGTACTATTCTGTATCATGGATATGAAGGTTATTATTCTCAGTCGATAGAAGGTAATTCAATATGCCCCCAAATTTCAGTAGTGCCAAGAAGTCAAAGAGGTTAACTATAGAACCGTTAGTGGGAAATAGTGATCATTTAACTTAAATATCAAATTAAGATACCATTTGCATTTCAGTTAGGAGAATGCATTTATCACTGCTGCTAAGGTATAGTTTATTGCATGTTATAGACTGAAAAAAAGAGACTCAAGATTTAATGTATATTCATACTGTAGAGTGATTTCCTATTGCAAATGATTGGAACACACTTCTGGCATCCTAATGTTCCAGTGCTGATGGGCTCTTCTGTTGTTCAACGTGTCTAAAGCAATAAAATCAGCTTGTAAGCTTTGCCTCAGCTGCTGAGCACTGCATGCATTCAGGTCATTACGGTGGCAGGGATGCTCAGTTGGGAAAATGGTATATAAATAACTGATAACATGAGCAGAGTCTGATTAATCCTTACTGGCCAGTGACTATTTCTAGGATCCTCTTGCATTTGAAAGGATTTATTCTTCCAAGGAATTGAAAGTAAGAGCATAAATGCTAACTCCATTCTGACAGCACAAGAGGAGTTCTTAGAAAACAATTATTTTAGAAATGAGTTCTGAAAAGCAGAACGTTTTTAAAGTATACTCACTTATGTAGTTTTTAAGTACATATACACTATGTTTTGAGCACTATTACTATGAGAATATTTTATACAAGTACCCTGAAAATGTAAATCTCAGGGAAAGATAACAGTTGTTTTGCATTAGTACTATATATTATCTCTCAGTGATATCTTTTTGGTGCATTCTCTGCAATTCATTTTATTTTATTTCATTCCATCATTTTTAAAATTACTTCTACCTGGTTCTATCTCATTCTCGCCTTCCTCTCTTTTTTTTTGTCTCTGGCTCTGTCTGTCTGTCTGTCTGCCTCTCTCTCCTCTCACACACACACACACATACACTACCCATATAAAGATATACAACAATTTTTGCCAAATAAGGTAGAACTTAAAGAGGTGTACACATATACTCAAGCGTCTGATATTTGGGACATTTATATAATTACATTTCGAGTTATACAAAGCAACATTATTACGCTTCCAAAGGAATTAAGTATTTTATTAATAATAATAAAGAGAAACAAGCTTATATTGTCAACTAATAGCATACATTTTCATATCAGCTATGACTACATATTTTAAAGTTTTCATTACCTCATGGCCAACCACAAAACATCTGATCGAGCTACACCTGTCAATTATTTGTATCTTTTGCTGTACTGGAAGGATCTAGTATTTGATAAATAATATCATAAGTTCTTTCATGCACTTAATTTAGATTTATAAGTACATTACCACAAATATCATGTGTATATGTCCTAACATAATTAATTGTTATTTTAATACCAATATGATAGGTTCATTGGTGCTTTATTCTAGCCAGTCTTTAGGTGACCAATAATACTGACTGTTACTACTTCTCTAGGTACTAGTCACCAATTTTTGAGTATCTATAAGAGAAGCTATTCCAGGTATTCATGTTTATGATTTATAATTGTCAGACCTACTGTGAATGTTACATAATATTATCCCTATTATGCAAACAACGAAGGCACTACAGTTGAAAGGTAATAGCTTGACCTGTACAACAGAATTATCAAGTTAGTGAGCTAGTATTGTAATTTAAGTCTGTATGGTTCCAAAGCCATGTTATTTCACACTTATGCTACCTGAGGTTGATTTAATTTCATTTCTGTTTTTAAATATTTTTGCAATCTATCTGAAATCTAATCACAGTTGGTCATTATCTTTTACCATAGGCAAAATGAATTCTTGAAAATAGCCACAGCCATTTATAGTGAACATCTGTGACACACATTACAAAGATGAATGTGAAAAGATCCCTAAAAAAAACACATTGCAGATTATAATAATGAATGTTAATAAACATTTGGGGTTTGTAAATGCTATAAAGAAGTAATTAATTTTAACTTGTGTGATTCAGCAAGTCTTGTAGGAGAAATAGTTCTGACAAATTAGTAAAACTTGAACACATGGATATGGAGACAAGAAAGGAGAGTGAAGATTTTAAGCAAAGGCACTGAAGTTGAGACATACGAGACTGAAAGCTGCAAACACAGAGAGAGCATAGTTTTGCTTTCCCAAGATTTTATATATTTAAGATTTGTTTGTTGTAAGATATACTGATAATACACCCCACCATCACCATGACTTCATCCTTACTTCTTTTCTCTTCCTTCTGAAAATACTTAAGTTGATGAGTTGTAACTGACTAAAATTACAGATTCTAAAAATATGTAATTTGCTTTTATATATATTTAGATTACTTTTATAACAAAACAATAACCCAATTCTACATTTCAAAATTACTTTTATGGCCTATTGAGTGTTATGAATGAAGCTACTTGGACACTGAGAATAATTTGATTTGACAATTATAAATCCCCATATTCTAAGGAAGAATTAAATCTGGCAAGAAATTAAACCTATGAAAGAACATGTATATGTATGAGCATACTTATTACTTATCTCCTATATGATCTCTCAGCATTTTTAACCTACTTTTAATATATCATTTGGAGAACTGCATTGTAATTATTTATTTTACATGTTTGTTGCTCCTCCCAAATTCAGTCACTTCTCAATGCAGTTCTACAACTTCTCCTTCTTTAGATTACTAAGATAAAATACTTTGTCATACTTTCATCTTTTTAAAAAGTGTAAGACTAGAGGGAAGCAAGGAAAGCCACTGTGGAAAACAGTATGGAGACTAGGAATAGACTTACCATATGACCCAGGAATCCCACTCCTGGGCATATATCCAGAAGGAACCCTACTTCAAAATGACACCTGCACCCCAATGTTTATAGAAGCACTATTTACAATAGCCAAGACATGGAAACAGCCTAAATGTCCATCAACAGATGACTGGATAAAATGGTATATTTATATGATAGAATACTATTCAGTCACAAAAACTGACAACATAATGCCATTTGCAGCAACATGGATGTTCCTAGAGAGTGTCATTCTGAGAGAAGTGAGCCAGAAGGAGAGAGAAAAATACCATATGAGATCACTCATATGTGGAATCTAAGAAAAAACAACAACAAAAACATAAATACAAAACAGAAATAGACTCATAGACATAGAATACAAACTTGTGGTTGCCAAGGGGGTGGGGGGTGGGAAGGGATAGACTGGGATTTTAAAATGTAGAATAGATAGACAAGATTATACTGTATAGCACAGGGAAATATATACAAGATCTTGTGGTAGCTCACAGCGAAAAAAAGTGATAATGAATGTATGTATGTTCATGTATAACTGAAAAATTGTGCTCTACACTGGAATTTGACACAACATTGTAAAGTGACTATTACTCAATAAAAAATGTTTAAAATATAAAAAAAGACTGATCTATATTTGATAATGCCTTGTTAAATTCAGAGAATAACCTTTACTTTAAAAGCACAAGTGTTGCCATATTCTCTACAGAAAGAAAATACACATGTATGACTCTGAACCAAATGCGTCTATTTTATGAGCACTATCTTATTTATAGTTTAAGAAAATCCAACAATTATTTCAAAATTGACACAACATTGTAAACTAACTATAACTCAGTAAAACTAAAATTTAAAAAATTATTTCAAAATGACATTTTCAATTGGGGTATATTAATGTAGATAAACATATATAACTCATTTGGATAAATGTCTAAGGCAAAAATTGAGAGAATTATATTCTAAAGAAGGCAAGACATAAGTTATTTGCAATTGTTAAAAGACTTATAATTAAAACCATAACAAAGAACCAAACAGAAATTATGGAGCTGAAGAATACAACGAATTATTTTCAAAAAATGTAGTGTAGAGTGTCAATAGCAGACATGATCAATCAGTAGAGAAACTCTGCAAACTTAAAGACAAATTATTTGAAATTACCCACACTACCAAAAGCGATCTATAAATTCAATTAAATCCCTATCAAAATTCCAATGTCATGTTTCATAAATGTATAAACAAAATCTAAAATTCATATGGAACACAAAAGACTCTGTATATTCAAATTAATCTTGAGAAAGATTAACAAAGTTGGAGGTATTACACTTCATGATTTCAAGCTATATTACAAAGCTATAGTAGTCAAAATAGTATGGTATTGGAAAATAAACAGAAACATGGATCAATGGAGCAGAATCTCTCCATTGAATCAGAAATAAACCCATGCACATTCAGTCAACTAAATTTCAACAAATACACAAGAATACCCAGGGAAGAAAGATGAGTATTCAAAAATGATGCTGGGAAAACTGGATATCAACATGCAAAAGAGTTAAATTGTACCTCTATCTTTCATCATACACAAATCAACTCAAAATGGATTAAAGATTTTAATGTAAGACCTAAACATATAGAACTTCTAGAAGAAAACATGGAGGACAAATTCCTTGACATTGGTTTTGGTAGTTTTTAAAAATCTAATACTGAAAGTGCAGGCAACAAAAGCAAAACAGACAAGTGAGACTGCATTAAACTATAAAGCCCTTGCACAGCAAAGGAATCAATCAACAGAAAGAAAACGCAACCTATGGAATAGAGAAAATATTTGCAAATCATATATCAGATAAGGGGTTAAAATCCAAAATATATAAAGAATGCATAAACTCAACAGCAAAAAAAAGAAAAAGCAGTCTACAAATTTGGCAAGAATCTAAATAGACATTTTTTCAAAACACATACAAATGACCAATAGATATATGAAAAGATGTTCAACATGCTACTATTTCAGGGAAATGCGACTTAAAACCACATTGAAATTCCACCTTGTACCTGGTAAACAGTCATTTTCAAAAAGTGAAAAAAATAAGTAATGGTGATGATATGAAAAAAGGAACTCTTGTACTCTGTTGGTGGCATTATAAATTGGTACAATCATGGAAAACAGTAGGGAGGTTCCTCAAAAAATTAAAAATATGACCATCATATGATTCAACAGTTCCACTCCTGGATATATATCCAATGAAATAAAATCACTATCCTGAACAGATATTTTTTTCTAAATTATCCCTGACCTTCAGTACCATTTTTCTCTCTCATCAAATGCACATACTCTCTATATATTTGAATTCTGTCCTGATATATATATATATATATATATATATATATATCTCCTCATAAAATATTTAGTGCTGTGCTTGATTATAGGAACATATGCATATTTCCCTTGGTATTTTCATAACTGCTGTGACTCTTTAGATTTTATTCTATCCTTTACTCTTTAAATTTACATAGCTATTAAAACATATGTATATTTTTCATTTATAAATGCTTCGAATTCTCTAACTGAGCAGCAATCAATTGGATTCTTCTTTGGTAATTTTTTTCTATTTTTTTTTTTTTACTATATTTCTATTTTTCTAAATTTTAGTATATTTTCACCCTAACTTTAGTTTCTGCTTCAATCATATTGAAACTCCTTTATTCCCAGGCAACTTATCATGCTTTTCTTTCCTTTCTATCATTTTCATCTTCCTAAAATCCCTTTTTCTTTTCTATGTGCCTGAAAACTCTCCTCCAAATACGGTTTCTTTAACTTTTAAGGCTGTCTGTATTATTAGTATATTAATTAAACAAGTGAAATAAATTAAAATTTAAATTGACTTAAAAAATACAAACACACAAATTCATTAATTTACAGAACCAGAGTAGATAACTGATTCAAGGACAAAAATTTTTGTGAAAACAACCAAGTGATTTCCAAGCTTTGCTCTGCCCCAGTGGGTTTGCTACATCCTAAGACTGGCCCCTTCAGAGCCACAGCAGCAATTTGAGTTATGCGTTCTCATGCATAGCTGTGAGCAAGGAAGCCTTCTTCTTCAGGCTGTATTTTAATAGTAAGGAAGCTTCTTTCCAGGAAGCATCTATCATATTCTCAAGTTAATTGACCAAATCTGCTTAGGCCTGCCCTCTTCTATGTCAAATACTTGCAAGGGGAAATGGCTTTACCAGGATTAGACTGTTCAGAACCCATCAACTGATTTCTCTCAAAACACACGGTTGAGATCTTGAAGAAGAGTGAGTGAGGTTTCTCTTATAAAAGGAGAAAGTAGCATTTACACTCCAGGAGGAAACAACATGGATACCACATAGACTCACTCCTTACCATATTTAGTAAAAGTAAATAAATGCCCCTATCTCAGAGCTTACATAGCACAACAGATACAAACATATGCATGGGTATCATACGTTTCACTGTGAATGATCAACACGTTTAAAAACTGGATGAATATTAAAGAGGTATCTTTATTAGATTCAGCTTCCTCATCATTAAAGAAGGGACATGGTATTATCTGCTTCCTTGCATGGTTGCAGTTTTTAGCACTACTACTAACACAATACTCAGCATTATACTAAGCCTGGGGTGATTATTCAATAATACTATTAAAACTGCCCATTCTAGATGAGCATGAGCTCTGCAGTTTACTGTTTTCTAGTATGATTTAAGTTGTTTTCTTTGACCATAGAGGAACTTGAGTTTATGACCTTTAGTTAAAGTCAAAGTTTAAAAAAGTAAAGCCTCATTCACTCTTGTTAAGAAATTCTATTGTTAGCGCAGTCATTTTTTGAAACACACATTCACATTCACACACACACACACACACACACACACACACACACACACACACAGAACCTCAGGGTAGAGATTCTCAGTTGCAAGGAGATAGTACTGGGATTTCTTTTCAGAAATATTTGGCAACACCCATCTTTTAACTTACTGAACATTTATCTTTTTTCCTTCTCAGATCTCCCTCCTGTCTTACTACACTCAAACTTGCCTATTCATCTTCTTTTGATCTTTCACATTTTAACACAAGTGTCTTTTCAGGAGAGACAGCTTATTTGGCCCACCCCTCCAATACCTGGCATGCCATGCTTTAAATAGATACACAGGACCATGTCCTTTGTTTTCATAATTCAGATTTATTAAGTAATAAATTATACATTTATTTGTGATGATTTGACTGTTATGTTATTTTCAACAAGACTCTTTTTAAAATTTTGTTCATAAGATTGTATTTATTTTCTACCATATATTCAATAAACATTTGTTAAATGTGCTGTACTGGGTAAGCTTCTCTGGAGGTTATTAATTTATGAATGTTCTGTGTGGCCTGGGGGCGAAAAGTCATTATTTTAAATGGGTATCAATCTCAGGTTAGAATCTCAGGCATTACAGATGTAACTTCACTTTTCTATTAATGAACTTAATTTATAAAATGAGCTTTATTACATTGTATGGTGGAAAAACATTACTCAATCAATAGTGAAAATATTAATCCACTATGCGTTTTCCCTACTTAAAATAGGTCTCCTTCACCCCACAGTAAGTTCTGTGATCTGGAGTTTAGGCAGTGACATACTTGGATAGTGAGAATGTAAGTTTTGGGGATCATATAAAGTTTTGTTGGGCCTCCTTCTCCTAATCACAAGACTTCTCTAAACCTGACTGTCAACACTATATCCACACCTTTCTTGGGCATACCTAGAACAGAAGGTTACATACTGGTACATAAAAACCTAACAAAACTTTCTCAGGCCCCTCTGACTAAATGGTTCCTGTTACTATCTCTACTACAGGACTTCCAAACTATGCCAACACTGTAAATGCAATAAGGAGGGCCAACTTCTCAGGCCACATAATGATACTGAGGCTACATTAACAATGTCAGTTAGAAGGATTTGATTGCTATAGAAGATTCATATGACCCAAAATAAAAATACTTACACATGTATAGTCTATTGTAGGAAAAGATACCGTATAACCACAGCATTAAGGTAAGGATATATACCACAGATGAAGGATGCCTTATAGGAATGTGTCCAGATAACCAGGTGTGAGCCACGATATCCTCCTTCCATAGAACTGTGTCAGACACGCTTTCCCTCTTGGATCAGGACCATCATATGGATAAAAATTACCTCAGAAACAGAGGTCTAAAATGGGGACTCATCTGAGGTTGTTTCTGATGGTCATGTAAGCACATTCTACCTAATCAGACCCAATGGCAAACTGCTCTAAAGATTTCACAGATACCAGGGGCAAATCATCAATCTCACTGCTACCAATAAAAAATGCTGACGAGCCGCTGATACAAACCATCTCCAAACTCCACAGGCTATAGCTTCCAAGCAATACAATTATTAATCAGTCTGTTTTGTGCCAATGTTAGGCAGTTAGATACAAATGAGCACTGGGCAAGGGGAAAGGAAAGGGGAGGGAACAAATTAGAAGATAACAGTACGCCTGAGCTCAAGATAAGGAAATTCAAAGAGTTTTACTTTCTCTAAATGAGTGCCAACAAAGAAGCCAGTTAGAATTGAACCCTGCAGCTGCACGGTAGGGAGAGGGACTTGGCTTAACATCACCCAGTGCTCATTATAATATAATTAGCATTGTGGTTTGGGCCCCCTCCGGTAGGTTTTTCTGTGTGCGTCATGGGTAACAGCATGAGCAAAGGAGACAAACATGCCTGAGCACTCAAGGCACCTGAGTTGTCAATCAGTCACTAGAACACCCACAAGCCAGGATACAAACAGGAGAAACAAAGGAGAGCTGCTGTTTTCGTCTCTTGGGTTGGCCCACCTTCAATTCTCAGAGGCATACTATACTAACTTTTGCTCTATTAATAAAATTTTCTATTTATATCATGCTTTCAGTCTCCAGTTTAAATTCTTTTTCTCAAGAAAGACAAAGAACCAAGTTCTTTTTACCCTCTGATGAGGGTTTAGTGTCCTGCAGGTAACTCAGCAAACAGAGCAGGCTAATTCAAGGGTGGAACTAAACTCAGCACAAAGGAAGAGCCTAGATTTATTTGGATAATGTCCTCGAACATATACTCACACCTTGATTAGTTCTCTCCTTTTATCCTCCAACAACAGTGTATAAATATTTAGATCATTTGGGACCATGCCAGGATTCTGGCAAGAAAAGAAAGCACATTCAAACAGAGCAATTAAGGAGACTTCAATGGACTATTTGCAAATGGCGGTTGGTTCAAACAATACAGGATGCTGCAATTCCCCAGAACTAGAAACAATGGCAAAATATTCGCAGCCCTAGATCAGAGGACCCAAGGACATAACAGTTTTTGGAACAGGAAAACATAACTGTATGGGAAGGATAACTGATGGAAAGTCCAGGAGCTATGGACTTCAGACAAGAGACACAGGCAACCAATGACGATCAATAGCAAGAGAGCTCTAAGAAAAGTGGAAAGTACATACCCTGGCTGTAGTCTCTTCCTTGACTCTGATTTTCTGCCAGAGGGCAGGGGAGGTCATTGTACAGTCAATACTGCGCAGACTTCTAAGACACAGAGCACATGGAGAAGATGAAGACAGCATCTGGAGAGGCAAGAGGAGAACATCCATCAAGGTGTCAGGGAAATGTAAAGCCTGGCTCTTACATCATGATGCATTCTCACAAATCCACAGTATTTTATGGAATATAATTTATACTTGACTTCCCTCAGGGATTGAAAAAGAACATTGCAGGCCATAACAACATGAAAGCACATACACTTTATACTCAGAATCATCTTTCCTTCTGTTTTTGTTTTTTTTTTTAGGGTGGAATTCCACCCTGCATGCAGGGATAAACTGACTAGGGAAAAGGCTTTGGGGCAAAAGGGAATCATCAAAGCATAAAGGACACTATGTAAACTATCATTTACTACTTTGGTAATAAATCCTTTGATTTCTATGGTCTCATTTTAATTGATAATAAAATATTTATATCTTTCAATAATGTTTTGATATTTATATGCTTATCAAAATATTTAGGCTAATCTTTTCTATAATTGGACAAAAAACGATATTTAGGCTCCAGAGATTAAACCACTCTTCTAAAGGCACACGTATTTGGGTTGCTGAGTCATACCTAGAATCCACACCTATTTCTCTGATTCAGTTTTCATTTTACCATAAAAGTGGACTATATAAATCACTTATTTGATGCAATTAATAAAAAAAAAGCTGACAGAAATTAGCCATGTTATTTTTTCTAAATTTCAACTGCTTTTTCCTAATTTTCAACATGACACTGGAGACAAATATTAGAAAAAAATACTTATAAAAATGATGTATTTTGAAAAATGAACTCATCATCAATTAGACAGCAACATAATACAGTACACTACACTGTGATTATCTATATGTTGGGTTAATGTCATAAGACTGACTATTTTAACAGTATTCCAAATGCTACAAATTAAAATATGTTGTATAATTACCATCTCACTTTTAAAAATTGGATTTTTATAGAAATTACAGACCAAATGAGAGATTTCAGATATGAAATTTGTCTGATTTAAGTGTCCAAATAAAATCTATATATATATTTTTATATATAGAGATTTTTTTTTAAATTAATGATTAAAGTCCATCACAGATAAGTACTACATTGTTACTTCCTCGAAACTTTTGAGTATTTGACTATATCTACATGGTACTAAAATAAATTTTCATGATTTAAATTGTAATTACTAGTCCAAAAGCTGAACTATTGGGTGTGATGACTAATTTTCTATGTCAACATGCCTAGGTATCCAAATACTTGGTCAACATTATTTAGATGTTTCTGTCAGTATGTTTTCTACATTACTGTCCAGGTTTACCACTAACCACTGTTGCCTGTTCCAGGGCTTCTAAGAAAATAATCCAAAAAGCTTGTATTCATTGGTTTCTAAACATTTCATTCTTTTACGCTTCTCAGTCTTAGCCAACTCTTTTCTCTCTCATCTCCAATGCTTTTTCATCAGCACTTTTCCCTTTCATTGTAGGAAAACTGTTGCTTTTTCTTTAACATATGTGCCCAAAATCACACTCTGTGAAGTCCTCTTTTACTTTTCCAAACAAATGTGTTACTTTCTTCTCTGTGCTCCCACTATATTACTACAGTTAACATGGACTATTAAATATTTTTGATATTCAAAAAGCCTAAACAATAATATGAGAGATTCATGCTCACTCTAGTTCTTATAAAAAATAAAATATTATCAATACAATAGAAACCATCTTCTTCTCATAGGTAACCACTATCTTAATATTTACATTTATTATTCATATTACATCTTTACCTTATTTGCATATCCCTAACTATATATACAAATATTATTTGCATGGTTTAAAGCTTTATATTAATATTCTGTTTATGTATGTATGTACATACGTGTGTGTGTGTTCTTTCTTCTACAACTGGGTTTTATGGGAAGGAGGTTTAATTAAATTTGTGATATACATATATTTATGAGGAAGCTTGTGGTATCCTTGCATGGCACAAATATAATTTATTTGTTGTCCTGATAACAGACATTTTGGATGTTTGCAATTTTTTTGCTGTCACAGAAAATTTTGCTTCAATATTCTTGTACATATATGTGAGTTACTTTCTCTAACCCTTCTACCAAGAAGTAGAGCTGCTAGGATGCAGGCTATGCATATTTTACTTTAATTTTTATATACTGCCAAATTGTTTTCAAGGTGGTCTTGCAATTTTACACAACTAACAGTGCATAAAAGTTTCCATGTCTCCACATGTTGGTCATCATTTGGTGTTGCTAGATATTTTATTTTTTTCATAATTTGATGGATGTGACATAGAATCTCACTGTGCTTTTATTTTCCTACTAACTTCATATTCTTTTGGTAATTTTGTGTTTTCTCTTTTGTAAATTACTCATTCATTGTTTTCTCCCAGTTTAGAAGACCATCTTTTCTGTAGCCTTTGATAGCCTTAAGGGCAGAGGCCACGTATTATTCACTTTTCTACCCTCGCATTTTATGATGCTTACTTAAATGTTTGATGATTGAAAGTCATAAGCTCCTGATAGATGTTAATGAAGATTTTTGGTATCTTTCTCACATAATAACCATTACATAAGTTTTTACAGTCATGTTACAAGTCAGGGCACAGATTCCTACTGTGTCTCTAACTTTGACATGCTTGGTTTAAAAGGCTAATTCAAAAATATTCTGGAGGAAAAGAATTTTGCATCTTCTAGACATAGTGTCGCTACTTAGCTTAATTATAGCAATTTTAAGTAGTGAAATCCTGCTATGGAAAATACTTTTTAGAAGTCTATCTTAATTTTTATATTCTTATCTATATGGCTAAGAATTTATAAAGCATAACATTTATAAAAGCCTTGGTGATCATGTTTTCCTTTGTTTTCTGTTGTATATTGCTCAAAGTAAATTGTATGTTAGCTGATCCTTGTAAGTTAGAGTTTATAATGCTGTAGTTTAAATGGAATTTGTTATTAATTTTGAGCTTCATATGAAAAATACTGTCCAATATTTTTCTTTATATGCCAACTATTATACTTAACATTTATTGGGCTTCTGTAACATACTGGACAATTTGAAAAACATAAATTATACTCAATATTAGGTAGAGATACTCACATTGCAGAATTTAGAATGTAAGGATGTGTAAATTGCTACATACAAGGCAACCATATTTTGACATATTAAGTGTTGTGACTTTTGTTTTTACTTGGGAAGTATTTGAAAAGTTCTATGCTCACTTCTTTCATATAAAATATGACTCCTGAGAACAAAAGAAGTCAAATGGTTAGCATTTCATTTTGAAAGCTAAGGTCTAGCTAGGCATATAAAAAAAAGGATCAGTAAATGATAACAAGGTTTTTACCTTCCTGATGTAATAACTCAAATTAGTTTGACATGTATTAACTTTCTTTAATCCTCATAACATGGCTATTTAAGTTAGGGTTTTTTATTTCAATATTGTTCACATTTTGAACCAGATAATTCCTTCTTGAAGGGTACTGTGCTTCAAATTGTAGAATTTTAGTATCATTCTGACCTGTAGCCCCAAGATGCCAGTAGCACACCCCTCAACACTAGTCATGACAACCAAACATGACTCCAGTCACTGTCAAATGTTCTCTAAGGGAAAACAAAACTACAGTTGAGAATGACCTCTTGAAGGCATATCCTATCATTTTTTCCTTCTTTTCCATCTCCTTGTCCTCTTTTTCTTCCTGATTATTTATCTTCCTTTGCTCCTTTTTATCTTTGCAAATAGAGAAATTGAAACTTAGGAAATTTCAGTACATTTTTATTGGAAGATTCAATATATAAACATACAGTCTGACTCCAGAGTAGATAGATGAAAGGATAGATAGATAGATAGATAGATAAAGATATAGATATAGACATAAATAAATAATCTCAATGCTATAATTATTGGCTACTCATTATCATGAATCAACTAGTCTTTATCTTGACACCCATTTTGCATGATTATTAATGTCATCCTTGATTTAATAAAAAGTTTCTACTTGTAGTATAAGACAAACTGTATTAAAATTAATAAATACTTAACATTATTCAAGATAGTTTTTTCTTATAATTAATAATTATATCTTTCTGACTTAGTTTATTTTTTGTGTAAAGTGAGATAATAATATATCTACATCAAGAACTGTTAGGCAAAAAAGTGAAACAAGTCAGAGAGAGACAAATACTGTATGATATCACTTATATATGGAATCCAAAAAAGCTGAACTCACGAAAACAGAGACTAGAATGGTGGTTACCAGGGACTGGAGGGTGGGGAAAAGGGGAGACATTGATCAGTATGAACAAGTGTCCAGTTATAAAATAAATAAATAAATAAAATAAATAATTTCTGGGGATCTAATGTACAGCATAGTGATCATAGTCAATAGTACTGTATTATATACTTGAAAGTTGCTAACAGAGTATTATATCAGTACCTGTTTTAACTAATTGAAAGAAATCTGAAGAGAATTTTTGTTTTTATGAAAAAAGCCATTACTGTACTAATATAAGACTTCTGTAAAAGCAAGTGACATACTGGAACTTTTGGAAAGTGTGGGGTACCATTTGCTTTAGACCATTTCCACCTATGACTATTCTCCTTTCAGATAGCAGGGGACATCTGTGTCATCTAACACTATGGTAGTAATCATCTTGCAATATATGTGTATCAAATCAACAGGTTGTTTGTATTACATTTACACAGTATTATATGTCAATTGCATCTCAGAAAAGCAGGGAAAAGGATTGTTATGCAGATTAACCATCAGCCCTATCTGCTTAGAATAGTACCGGGCACATAATTAGCTGCGAATGTCTTAATGTAAAAGAACTGTACAAATTAAAGCAATGACAAGAGATACCATAAAAAAGTGGCAATGGTTTACATATTTTCAGTTTTATCAGATGTTAAGAAAGTTCCAAGCACAAATTTGAAGAATCAAAGAATTCTAAATCTATACAAAAAGCAACAAACCCTTGCTCTAAGTGCATCACAAATGTTACAAAAAAGAATGTTATGCCATAAAACACTGTATATGTATAATGTATTATATGTCTTCTAAGACACATAATGTTATATATATATGTATACTTGAAAAGTTTATATTGGTAGTTTATCAGAAGAAGAGAAAGAAGTAGGAGAAAAGGGAGGAACAGGAAGACGAAAGAGAAAGAAAAGAATGATTTGAGAAACATGTCTGTTTTAATGTCATTCTTTTTCAAAATTTTCAAAAACTATAATGTGTTTAGGAGTCAGTAGCAAAACCATCATAATAATAAGCATGGGAATCAACTTAGGAAATTATTCTGAACTCATAAACCAATACATGGGTTAATGCTCAGTAAATAGGAAAAGTCTAAAAATTTTTAGTATAAGTAACATTGTTTCATATGTCCCTTTTAGTTTTTTTTTTAATATCTATTGTGCTTTGATTGATGGAGAGAATTAAATATAATGCTCTCTAAATTCTCCAATGAAGTTAAGGAGAAATTGGACTGAAAGTACAAATATTTCCAGCTGCAAAATAATGCTGTAAATTGCCTTTAAAGGCAAGTGTTTTCAGTTCCCTCCCACCCCCCGTCTACTGATATCATATCCATTAAACTTAACATTTCAAAAAGCTTTGTTATACTTTGTTTGTGATTATTTGAATAAAATACTTTTTAGCTCATTTTAAGATAAAAAAATTCAAATATATCTTGTATAGCCTTTCTATCTTTC